GTAGATTTTAAAACTGGAGGGGGGAATAAGGGGGTATTTTCTCATGTATTGTGATGGAGGAATGCGATATATTTTCATGTGGGTATCTATATAACAATATAAATGAATTTTAACGTTTGAGAAAACCATAAGCCGCACACCTATCAATCGCATGAAAGGTCTTGTTGTGAAACTTCCCCAAAAAATACCAGACTTTTTTCGATAAGCCCTCTTCTATGGGCAGGGACATCAATTTAAGGACTGTATTAGTTATATTTAAAAACATTGAAGATACGCCAGCTGTTCGATTTGTTTTTGATTTAGTTTGTATACTTTCCTTGATAGTGGTGGAGCTAAAAAGTAAAAACCCATAAGAAAACTGCAAATTGTGATAAGAGTATGCCCTTTGGTGGGTATGTAGTTTAAGGTTTAGCAATGAAAATAAGAGAGGCAATGGCCAAAGTTGCTATAATTCAAAATGGTGGCGATTTTTCAAAATGGCTGCCCGTATTTTGGTTTTGATATATTTTCTTTGATATATAATGAAAAATGGTGTTCTTTAATTTTTTTTAGCTTTTTGGTATATATACTTTTAGAATTGGATGAAAACTAATACATTTCAGCCTTAGATTATAGATATGATATAATTGTCATATGATAGAGACTTGGTGTTAAATTAAAGTCCGGAATCTCCAGATTAAGATGATACCAAACAGTTAAGAGTGTTGATGACATTTTCAAGCTTTTATCAGTGAATGAATAAGTGAAAAATAAATACCTTCTATTTTGGATTATAACAACTTTAGGCAATGCTTCCCCATCTTATTTTAATTGTCGGACTATAACCTACATTCATAACAAAAGGTTTTTCTTGTCACAATTTGCAGTTTTGATACGTAGCCCACTATGAGTTAACCTTTTGATTTTAGGTACCATATATTGCATCAAGCAAGAGTAGAGTATTTTCCCTTGTTACTTGTACATTGATAAAATTGATTTACATAAAGAATAAATGCTTAATCAACCAGTAGTTTGCATTGGACGAGGCAGGGAAGAATCACTAAATCTTCTCAGCGTTCTCTCCCCGTGGCGAGGCACGGGCAGAACAACTAGTTGCATCTTAAATTGTGTTAAGTGGTTATTTATGTGTACATAAAATAAAATTCTGTTTTTTCTCTGGATTTTTGTTGTTCACGACATTTTTTACCGAAGTACAAGAATGAAAAAATGAACTAAATGGAATGTACGCGAATTAAATTTTCATACTGCACTATTGCTTTAGATACCGCAACTGCTGATGTAGGTTTCGTTGGGTAAAGTTGGTTCCAGCCCTCCACGTTGTAAAATTGAATTCAGTTAAGTGAATGGACAAACCCAAAGACATCGGGTGGTTCGCAGGTATCGATATTACACTATGACATTGCATTGCATCACGCGAATTACAGTGGTTTGTCCATTATGTGATCATGTGGAGTTTTGTACAATAACGAACTGGAATACAAACGCAATACATACGGAATACAAATGCAATACAAACGAATTGGAAATCTTCAAATGGAACTTCCTAAGTTAGACAAAGTACGAGTTCAACCCTTAATTAATCTGAAATGAGAAAACGGCAGTTGCAGCAACATAGCATTGTCCTCAGCCTGTCGTGCCTAGTGACCGCTTCTGTATAATTACTATCGACATTCGGCAGACTTCCGGTGTCACAAACACAGTACACACTGCTGAATCTGTCAAAACTCTCTGTTGTTTGTGTCAAAACTACTATCAAAAAGGTGTGTAAATGTATATGGTGTACAAGTATAAAAATCGTACATTACTACAGCGTTGGAACATCTTCATACCGCCCTCCAAAGTTAATGCCGTTCATGACTAATTAGTATTACACATTACACCATACAAAAATTTTTTTATGTTTGCGTATGCTAGGGCATACGATAGGATAAAATAAAATATAATGTAGGGTATATTTGTTCCTTACTGTCCTTATAAAGTTGAAAATATTTTAGGTTCACTAGATTGCAGAAATGAATGTTGTATGTTAATTTAAGACTGTGATAATGTATTTGTATTAGACTCGGGTCAGTGACGTCACTTGTTTATGTTTATGATCCGCACAGTTTATGTTCTAATATTTGTGGGGTGTTTTAATAAGTGCTGGATTGTTTGTGGATGGATGGACGGTGAATGTTTTAAGTAATTTTTGATCCACATGATACATGAAAGTGATGATCAACGGCGAGCAAAGAGCAGCAACATTTAGGTATTTCTGTTCATCAAATAGTGTCCCAAAAACAGCTGATAGCATCATAGTTTAGTGGAAATTTTGTTAGACTACGGAACAGTTTTTGATAACCTCAAATAGTTTTTGATAACTCAAATTCATGGATCGCCTCTAAGACGCACCAAATTATAAATGCCAGATGGTTAATGTCTGTTAAATTAAACAAAAATGATTCAACGGTAACCTGAAACCCGTGGGGATCGTGTGGGAAATATCTGACGAGAACTGGAACTTGGTCGGTGACGGTGAATATCTGAATGGCTGCAGCGGGTTTGCACGGGCTGAGATAAGAGATAAGAGAAACCTGATCCACGCTGTTAGGAGAGTTATGTGGTGTCGTGTGTCGAGACATCGGAGTACAGAGTCAAGGCGAGGCTAATTGAAAACACACTCAACAGTGACTTCCTGCCGGGGTCTCGGAGATACGGACTACGCACATTGTACCTAACATTCAGAACTTTTCCGCGGGACAAAAAACTTGGGACAGACATTGTACCTAAAGTTCAGAACGAACCTTTCTGTGGAATAAACAGCTTGGAGGATAAGTCGTTGTTCCTAAAGTTCAGCACTTTTCCTTGGGATAAACAGCTTGGAGGAACAAACTTTTTACCTAAAGTTCAGCACTTTTCCTTGGGATAAACAGTTTGGAGGATCAGACGTTGTACCTAAAGTTCAGCACTTTTGATTGGGATAAACAGTTTGGAGGATCAGACGTTGTACCTAAAGTTCAGCACTTTTCCTTGGGATAAACAGTTTTGGGATAAACAGCTTGGAGGAACAGACTTTGTATCTAAAGTTCAGCACTTTTCCTTGGGATAAACAGCTTGGAGGAACAGACTTTGTACCTAAAGTTCAGCACTTTTCCTTGGGATAAACAGCTTGGAGGATCAGACATTGTACCTTAAGTTCAGCACTTTTCCGTGGATAAACAGCTAGGAGGAACAGGCTTTGTACATAATTTCGTTAGAAGTTCGCAAGGACTTCGTTCAAGAACTTCCGATGAAAGAAGAGGTCTTGGAGAGTTGTACTGCCTTTGTATCTAGCTTCGTTCAGAAAATTCCCGTGGAAAGAAGTGGTAATGAAGAGGCGGACTTGGTACCTAACTCCGTTCAGGATTTTCCGTAGAACCAAGCACCCATCTTTGTTCAGGACTCCGAAGCACGAGGGCCGGGGGGGGGGGGGGTCTTCAATGTTCACGTCTTGTACCTAACGTTGTTCAAGACTTAACTGTTGCATAAAGCGTTCTTAAAGGGTCATAATTTGTACCTTACTTTATTCAAAACATTTCCGTGGGATGAGCAGGTCATGTATATTCGCATTCCGGAGTCTTTAAGAGTTTTACAAAGCTTGCCGTGGTGTGAGGGGTCTTAGAGTCAAACCTAATAATTTGTACATTCGTTAGAGCTTTAAATTTCCTGGGAAACATTAGAATCTTTGACAACAATGTACCGTACCTTACTTAGCAGTGTTCTTAAGAACAGTCTTTGCTCGTATAAGTTTGCTAGTCTTTTACTACCAAAAATTCTTCTGTAAAAACAACAGGGATTAAAATGTAGCCATCGTAGAGGAATTAATGAAGAAACTAAAATTTACCCGCGCAATTCTTTACTTTTTTCGGCACGTAATACATTATTAATTTTATGAAGATAAACTGTATAGCTAAGACCATCTAAGTAAATGTCTATTCCAAATAAATGTATCTTTAAAACATATTCGAACTATTGTGTTGCTAGCATATCGATAAACAGCCATTTCGATTAATGCATTATGGTGCTATTAAAATCTGTAATTACTAATTGCTACTTGTGATCTAAGTTAGACTCGTTACTATATAGGTATTTTTTTACTTCTGTTTCCCATCAGCCTCGCAGTGGTCAAGGGAAATCCCGCGAAGCCACAAAACATCTCCATGTCCAATACTGATCGTGAACAACCCAACAACCCCAATAATTCCACCTCCGAATCTCTCTTTTCCCATCGGAATCGTCAAATAATTGGCGCCTTCGGCACGGAACTTCTAATTTGCCACAGTCGAAAATCTGCAATTATTTCATTTTTGATATTTCCACGAATCAACCGTCTTTTGATTAATGGTTACTCGGTTTCAACCACGATTCTGACCGTTAATTGGCAGCCGTTTCTTTTCTTTCTCTGCGTAATTGCTTAATTGCACCATTTGGCGATCGGAAGGGTCATTATTTTTAATCTACGTCGAAGGGTGGCGCTCTTTTAATGGGCCCTAAAACATGACCCGTGTGTGTGAGGTCTGTTGATATTCAGAGCCAAAATGTTGGAGGGATTGCGGCTTCACTTGGATAACATCCATTGTTGATTTGGTGGGTTTTGAACCGAAGTCCTGCGCTCTACCATTAGACTAAAATTAATCCGCTTGTCAAATTAATTGTCGTTTCGTCGAAGGGATCAATCAAACCATCAGGCAATTATCGAAGGGGATGCATTCATTGTCTAGTTAAAGTGATCGCCTTCAAATATGAAGTTAACTAGTTCGATCTCCAATGGAAATATAATTTATCATCATGCTACTAATATTTTAACAAACGGTTTGCGGGAGATAGTAACAAACCCAGGGGTTGGACGTAAAAAGAACGTAAACAATTCCATAGCAGTTGAAACACACAAAGTAAATCAAAGAGTAATGAAAAAAGTGGAGGTTCAACCACAAACCAAGGTACAATTGATTATTCCACCTTATAAACTATGAACAATGTACCTGGAGGAGGAGAGGCAGGGGAGCCGGGTGAGTGTCTAGGGCTGCTGCTACGGGGTCTCTCCCCATCAGAGGACGTGTCACTCCCCCCGTGGGCCGAGGGAGGCGACCTGGAGGCGAAGTGGTGCAGGTTGAGGCCTTGAGTATCGCGACTGTCAACCTGGAAACAACAACACCATAGCTGCAACGATAGTGTATTTGCAATTCGTAATAGCTTGGTTGTTCTACCTGGAGCAAAGTACTCTCTTACGTTCCTCCGAATGTAACAGCTTGATAATTGGTAGCACTACTTTCAGAATTGCTATTTTGGATTGATTCTGGATACAATTTGCCATTGTGTATCATGAAATATAACAAAAGGTTGCCAACAGGAATTTATTTTGAACTGTTCTCTTACCGATAAATGTAATAAATGAAAATTTCGTTAAAACCGCATCCCCCCCAAAAAAAACAAGATATTTTACGTTCCAAACCGAAACGTTTTACTATGGAAAGAGTAGTTCTGTTCGTATATAAGAACTTTATGTACACTTTTATGTATGTGCTTGCGATATGGTCATTTTATTAGACACATTCCATTACTAATTCTACAATATACATTTTACTTATCACGTACTATGCAATTATAGATAAGGAACAAAAATACGCTACATCAGGAATATTAAGGCTTAAAAAACGAATCTAAGTAAGATCATCATTATTTTGAGTTGAATGATGGTTCAGCTGATGACTATCATAACACTGTACCTATTTCATATTTTTTTTTTTATATAAACATAAAAATAAAACATAAGCTAGAAATATAAGTTTTTCCTACAGTTACCTGACACAGTGAGCTTTCTTTCACTGCTTATAGCACGCAAAGTAGTTAATTGCTGCATTTACTTAATTTTGCCGCACTCATTTTTTGCCACACTCCAGTATTCCAACCAAACAACAAAAAACAGTATGCTTTAAAAGGAATGTAATACGTGTACGCTTGAAAATAAGTTGACAACACTTAAAGATACTACGACTACGATCAGCTATTGCAGTGTTTCCCATTTCGTTCGACGCTTGGTACTAACCTAAAACGTAGTGTTTGGCGTTTTAAAGATTAATTATTTCTATGCTTGATAATAACTTTAGGATAAATATAATGTGTAAAACGAGTGCAAATTGTCTTTGCTGCACTCGAGAAACTTCCACAATCGCCTGCGGTTCTTGCGCAACATTTCTCTCACTTGCAGTAAAGTGCCACTTCGCACACTAGTTACACAAATAACTATTGTAAATCGTAATCAATCAATAACGCACACAAAGATGTATAGGCCTACCTTTTCGTAGCCGTACCAGCCCAACAGTTCATTCATTGCAGTCTCTGCGTACTCCTGCGAACATGAACAGTTAATTTAAGTTGAAAACATATACTATTTAGACCTAATATTTATCGAAAAAATACATCGTATAGCAGATGGGAGTGGAAACTTAAATTTTTTTAGTGAATAAGAATTTTGTTAACTTGATCGAATGGTACCTTAGATAGGATTTGTGTATATTATGATGTTGGCAGAAATAATATTGGCTAGATTCCACTGGGTATGATTCTGAAGAATACTTCAGTAAGTTATACGAAAAAGCTTCAGTGCCCAGCCTAAAAATTGCTCCGAAAAGTTTTAATTGTGAATTTGTGAATCTCTGCTCAAAGTTTGAAGTTTTTACAAATTCTTCTGCTACTGTACATCCTACTCACAACTGCCCTCAGTGTAGGTTTTCTTACAAGAGACAAGGTGGTTAACTTCAGGTCATCGCTGGTTACTATTTACATTCTCACAATACCAAGACTGACGCTGGATCACCGGAGACCTGAGAGGTTCTCGTATCCAAGGTGTCCTCTGGCAGCCTCCCTGGTGTCCCATGGTACACCCGAGACCACGGTCTGCCAGTAAGCTGACGAGGAATCCCAGCTCGGGTGTCGTGAGAACACTACCTACTGACACTTCCGAGAACATGTGACCTCACTAACCAGAGACTTGTAACACCGTCGACTTTTGGATACTGAATGTCTTCAGTGCCATCTTTATGGACCAATAGCCAATCTCATATAAATGGAATATAGTTGAAAGAGCCGCTAACAAAGTGCACTGTGGTTAAATTTCACATCCCTTCTTTAGTTTTTGAGACTATGGTATTTGTTGTGACATTTAGTGTACTACAGTTTACAACAAGACTTTTAATTTGGTTTGGCTAAACGTGTGCGTATTCGAGTGTTTGACAGAGGGCGCACATATTCGTTGGCTCAATTCTACATATACAGTACGTACTATTCTAAAACTGGTGACAGCTTTAACATGGTGAAGGAATGCCACTACTGTTACGGTAATGTCATCAAAATTCGAATCAGCTTTGAATTATTAACATTGACTTTGAATATTGCAAGGAGACTTTACGTCTAGTAACATCAGATTCAGGTTACAATGAGTGTTAATGCTCGGAGAACCGAGGTCGTTAACGATTGATTCGGTGGCGATACAAATTTTATTTGAGGGCATGTTACAATGTGTTGTTGCACTCTTTGGTTGTACTGAATGATACCACTTAACTTAAAATATTATATTTTACAATTTCACGGCCCAGCTTCTTAAAACAGTTTTGAAGTCAGTGACAAAAATCACTGCACCAATAGTAGGCCTAAACATAGAAAATGTTTTACATATACTCGTACCGATACAGAACCTAAAGCTGTCTTTGACTGATAACGATAACAAATCCAAGGAGTATGTTTACTATAGTGGATTATAGATCGCATGCAATGATGACTGTTTTAAAATGACATGATGATATTATAATATACACAATGAACGGAAACTATTTTTAAATTATTTAAATCGTGGAAGCATATTTTTGATCGTCCAATAACCTGGTGTTGTCATCGCAAAGCTAGAGTTACAGGAAGACGCGATGATTGGCAGACATAGGCTAATGTATTGCTTCCTGCAGGATATAATATTCGGCAATAAGATACACAAGTTATAATGTAGAGTGAGTCACTGTAGAGAGGAAAGAACAATGGAAAAAGGATTGATAATAATAAATGCAAAAAACCTCATAACTTTTATTTTAGTTGCCGGTACTGGAATTGTTACCATATAAATAATGCAAGGCATTCCAAAATAATATAGAAACTAGTAAAAACAACTGAAGTGGAACAGATTTCTTTTAAATGACGTAAAATGGCCCTAGGCCAGACTCGATTACACCAACTGTAGCCAAACATTGCGCTGATCTCCTTGTCTTCTCTCTGACGTTTTTGTTTTATAGATTCGTTAGGCCACTGTTGCGAGATATTGTAAGAAAGTTCGCATTAAAGTTCATTCCAAAGAGTTTCGTTTAGCTCCGCTCAAAAAACAAACTTATTAGTTATACTATCCTTGTATTCTTGGAAATTAAAGCCCATCCCGTTACACAAGACCAACATATTGCCAAAAACGCAAATCCAGCACGACATTGGGGGATATCCAGTGAAATTAAAGGGTACGTGACTCGTTTTCTCTACAAAATTGATATAATTAGTACGAAACTGAAAATTAGAACCTCCGTTCTCCGCTTTATAATTTCCAGCCTTGCCGTCCACTGAGGCCGCGGGCTGAACAACGTTGATGTGTTGTGTGGTTGAGACTAATGAAAAGCTTACGTCGCGAGTGATCATTGGAAATGTCTCTTGTTTCTGTACGTTCCGAGAGAAGTAAAATATTTCCTATGTGTAGTCGGGAACACAATGAAGTAATTATAAAGTAATTTACTTTTACTGTAATTGTGGTGTGTTTAGCTTCTGGATGCAATAGTATAGTAATTTCACGATGCCATATTTATAGACTAACCTATGTTTTATCTATGGCCATATTCAGTTAATTTTATTGTTATTCATAAGGTACACTTCTGGATTTTCGTGTGATTTTTTTTCGAAACTAACAATAAGGTATATCCTTGATATTTTAAATTTCAAATATAAGCTGACCCGTGCGAAGCAGTCACTACACTATATCCTCTCCTCAAACCCCCACTTAATTGAAGTGTAGGAGGATTTTCTATATTGAGTGCACAACATACCGTTACTACTGCGTAGTTGGTGCATTGTTAATTTAGGTGTGGGTCCTTACACCAGGAATAGATGTGGGTTTATATTTTTGATCATTCACTTTCTCAAAACATTATTTACATTTTTAAACCTTTACATGACCTCTTAAAATACTATAGCTTCTGTTAATACAATGAAAGTCTTAAAAACAACTGATCAACTTTATTTTCATGTACAAAGCTATTTGAGCAGTTTAACATAAGTAGTGCTTTGTTTATTTTTTCATTTTAGCTTGCTCTACAAACACACTCCTCTCAAATTATTATCCTACTGCGTAGTATGTTGTTATTCAATATTATATACATGACACATATAAATATGTAAGTCACTCAAAACTATTTACTAAATTACTATCAAAATTATCCCTAAACATTCATACATTAACACAACTTGAAAGTAATCGATTTTAACTAAACCGTAACACTTTTTTCATCACAATTAGCACAACAATTTACGTTCCCTATGTAGACTAATAACAGCAAACATGAATCTGTAACATAATACAGTAGCAGTATCGGATTGTTTACTGAGTTTTCATTTCAAACATTAACTCCGCTTACTCGAGCACGTGAGAAATTTCAACCTGAAATAAATTCGATATTACGCGAGAACAGGAGAGTACGGTATCGTTTATCAGAGGGTAGACGGGGGTGGAGGGGAGGGGGAGGGGGTGAAGTGTAAGAGTGTAAAGTATCAGACGACACTTTGTCACTGGACCGTCCGACGTGCGACTACCTGTTATTGATTATGCTATCAGTATCTCTGTTTGGAAGAAGTTATACGCAATCCTTCCTTATAGTGACTAACGTACCCTCTATCAAAATAGTAATTAAGGTCGTAGATTTTGATTTATGTTCCTCCTGAATCTCTACTCTCTAGCCCGGAACAGTTTCATGCATTGCTTCTATGGTTCGGAACTGGACCTGGTGTCCCTGATCATAAGGCCACAGAGAGCAACAACTTCTATTTTTCACGTTAAGATAGACTCCCTTAGTTGTAAATAGAATCGTTTTTAGTTTTTTTTGTACACTTTTTTGTCCTAGGAAGCTAGGCACGAGCCTGAGATTGTTTTCCACATTACTTCAGACTAGTCCTAGGGGTTGCAGCATTATCACTTGGATAAAATCCATTGGTCACCCATTGGTGGGGATCAAACCTGGGACCTCAGGGACTGAAGTCCCGCGCACTAACCACTACGCCAGCTCGCTCCCCTTATTTTTGACATGAGTGGCAACATAGTTCAAAGAAAATGTATCATGTTGTGTTTTTTTGTCTTGGAGGAATAAACGCAGTATTTCATTAGGTTGGCATTATGTTGTGTGTCCATATTTACCCGGAAAACTACATTTTTGTGTATTTTTTTTGTCTGGGACGGAAAGCTCCTTCCACTAAGAGCAACACGATAACTTAAACAATTGAGTTAATTCCAATGCAAACACTTTTCCTAAGAGTCCACGATCGCGGTCTCCTGGACGGCCCCTGGGCAGGGTGTGTGTGAGTGTGTGTGTATGTGTGAGGGGTGGACGGGGGAGTCACGTGATACGTTACTGGAGCTTCATCCATCAGTCGACGCTCAGGTTACAATTAGTGGAAGAGCAAGAAAATACTCCATCTCCGATGACTGCCACTTCTAACCCGCTGTCTGAATATCTCTTGAAATACGGCGCAACCACTTTTTTGTGCTTGTTTTTCCGTGTTAAACGCTCTGAAATTTGTTGAGGTAGTATACAATTATTGTGCACTTAAAGAGAATAAAAAAGTTATATAAAATATTTTTTTAATACTGTGATTTAAATTTAAGTGATTTAGCTACGTAAACACGGCGTTTTTTGCTAGAAATGTAGTTTCAAGGTTGCTCGTAATTGGTTTAAAACAAATTTTTCTGGAAGACTAATAATGACTGTAAAGTACAAGCGAATTATAAACACGTATCTAACAAACGTCGTGTACAACAAGCAGTGTATCCAAAATATTATAGCAGGAGTTGAGCAATTGAGCAACATGAGTTTCGATCAACAAAATGGATGACCATAAAATGAAACATTATTGTTGTTGAATACACTAACAGATAAGAATAAACACCAACTATTAGAACTGGTGTTTTATAGAACATCATTTTATAGAACTGGTGGTAGAAAGAGAATAAATGTGTACGAAATTATGAATCAAAACAGAGCGCAGTGCCAAATTATTACTCCACATCACTCATTTGTTCGCCCATTTAAAGCAACCCATATAATAATATACGAGTAA